CTTTTGGCTCCGGTCACCTGACCCAATAATTTGCCCCACAAGGGACACCTCCCCAAATTTTTTGGAATTTTTTATTTATTTGAAATTTTCATAATATTCACTTCTTATGTGATTGTTATGAAAAAAATATTAATTATTTAAAAATTAATTAAATATTTTAGAATGCTATATGACTTGATTAAGAATTTTTCTCATGCTACCAACTTAATTTCATATTAATTTGGTTAATTATCAAAAAATATTAATTAAGTTAGTTATTTCCTTAGTTATCCATTTAATAAAGAAAATTATATTTTTACCTTTTAATTTGACTTGATATAGTCTTGAACATTGACTTTTCAAAATATTAAATTTAAAACCCCAAATTTTAATGTCAAAATCTCGAGTTTTAATTTTAAGTATTTTATGTATTTTTAAGTTATTGGATTTAGGTATTTGATTATTTTAGGAGTATTCTACAAATTTCCAATATTATTTTGATAAAATATAAAATCTTCAACATCAAATTCCATTTGATTTAAATCAATTAACTCATAGCTAAATTCAATCTTAAACATTACACACACTTGTGTGCTGTCCTAGTCAAGTCAAGTTGACCTTAGGTCAACCTTTGTTGACCAATATTTATAGCATCATGTGTTTTACTGATCATTCATATTTTACGCTCTTTACTTGCATTTAGGCAGTAGTTTAGGGTCATTAAGTCATTATAATGCATCTTAGTCCTTCTATTTGATTTATTTTGATTTTAACCCAATAACTTTAAATCAAACTTGATTGATATAGATCGCACGTTACACTATATTTTCTGAACAATTTGGATATTTCACCCTATAGTGGGTCAACTAGTAGGGGACAACACATCTAAAGATAACTTATACAATATTCTATGATTGTCTACCCTAGCTCTTTCTTAGCCTATGGGACTCAGCATGTGATACCCTTTTGATACACCTCTATAGATCATTTTTTAGTTAACTTATTGCATCACTTTCATGCATTTACTATGATCGAGTATTTTGACTCTACTCCTATTTGCTAGTTTGACCATTCTCTTTTGGCTATGCTTCATTATGACTTAGCCATGTCCTTTTAGCTAGGTCTCCTCCCAGCATAGTCATGCTCTTTTGAGTATGATACTTAATCTCCTAATCATGCTCTTTTAGTTAGAAAACATCAGAGAATAAGTCATGCTCTTTTGACATGATTTAATTTGAATCTAAATATTCTCTTTCGAATAAGTCTATCCCCATTTTGAAAACGTGGGGATGTTTGTTCAAAATTTTCATTTTAATGCATGTTTTAGACATTTGTTCATTTTAGTATGATTGTTAGTTTTAATTGTTGAATAATCAAGCATTCAAGCTCATGAAATTTAGTTTGACTTCATGAGCCTTCTCTAATGGCTTGAAATTAATATTGGTAATGACCTTTATTGGGTTAATTAGATGCATGCTAAGGGATTTAGTTTGCAAAACATCTTCTTGGATATTCATCATGTATAGCCTTTGATCTTAGCACCATTGGCTTGAGAATAAATTGCATGAATAGTACAATCACATGTCTTTGGAATATTTGATCCAACACACATATAAATAAGAGAGGAGTTGTAAGTGATATCATATTTTTTTACATAGAAAAAACTTAACCAATTGAAAAATGGCGAGGCTTAAACTAATTGAAATAATTCAATTATTATTTTTCATCAGTTACAAATGATGCCTCACCCCACGATTGAGGAATGTGTTCATAAAATATAATATACGTATAATGTATCTGACATGTTTTGTGGTGGATGTTGGAAGTGTCATGTGATAAGAGAGCCGTTTTCAAGAGACTGCTCATTGTTTGTTTAGTCGTTCTAAGCCCATTATAAATCTTGGTTCTAACATTGGGGGTTAAACTTGGTATCAATATCTCAATGAGTGATGACATGAATTTATATTGTTGGCGACAATGACTGAAAAAGTTAGCAAGCATCAATATAGCCAGGAAATAATGGTCAAAGACTATAATCAAGCTTCAGTGGCTGAAGGACCATAATCGAAGCAAGGTGGTTGAAGGACGAAGTAGGTTGATGATAGATGGAGAACCATAATCGGGAAATAATGATCAAAGGATCATAACTGATCGAGGATGGTCGAATGATCGTAGTCAACCAATAGTGGTTGGATGGCTATAGTTGAGTAATGGAGGCTAGATAACCATATTCAAGCAATGATGGTTAGATGATTGTGGTCGGATAGTGATGTTCGAAGGACCATGATTGGTTAATGGTAGTCAGAGGAATGTGGTCAACCAATGTATGAAGAGTTATAATTGGACAACAGTGGATGAAAGATCAAAGTTAGGTGATAATGATAGTGACTTAATGATCATTGATAAATGATGGTGGGCAGAAGATTATAGTTGAGCAATGATGGATGGAGGATTTTATTTAGGAGAAAGTGGTCAGATGATCGTAATAGAGTGACGATGGTCAGAGTAATGTAGTTTGGCAAGGTGGTCAGAGAATCATAATTAGTTGATAATGATATGAGGATTATAGTTGGTGATGCAGTTGAGATGACCATAGTCCGACGATGGTAGCCGGAGGACTATAGTTAGGCGACGATACCCAGAGGATTGAAGTTGGGCAATGGTGATTAAATGATTGTAGTCATACAATGATGACAAGATGACCGTGATATGATAGTGTTGATTAGGCGGTAGTTTGACGGCGATGGTCGGGGTACTATATTGAGAGTACTTATCATTTTCATTAAATTTGGTACTTATATAAAGATGTGATTATCCAAGATATTGTGAATACACAGTATTTTCATTAAATTTGATTTTGATTGAAACTTTGTATTGGTTTTATCACGTTTAAAGTTTTTTTTTTCTTTGCTACACCTTGTCATGGTATATGTTATGCATCGTGCAAGGCATGACAACTATTTATCTATAGATCTTAGCTACTTGTCAAAATTACTTGTATAACGACCAATATTACTTGTCAAAAGAATTCACTTAAGATACTCATCGTTTTTTTCTGCAACTTGTGTGAATTTCCTAGGATAGTTGCCAACAAAACTTGTCTACTAAACAGTTTGCTCATATTATACCGCTAATCTTAGCTCATACTTATAAATGAGAAAGGTCAATTGCGAGCGATGACATAATCCTTTACTTGGATCAGTACTTTGTTTCTCTTAACACTATAAGCTACCTAAAATTCTAAACTTTTTTTTTTTGTCTTCTTTTGATTAAGTTTACTTGGAATTTTTCAAGAACAAAATTGGATCTAACAACTTTGGTTTAATTTTTAGGGGAGCAAACTTATAAGTAATTGTTGGTGTTGCCTCGAATTTGAATGGACTTTTCACTACAAAGAATGGGCCAATAGAAACCAAACAGTAGAAACAAAAAGGAAATGGTCGCTAAAGATGATTAATCATTCAATTTCAACAAAATGTATGTTGAAGTTTCCTTGAATTTAGCTCGACCCCTATTTGTTCATATACTTAATCGTCCTATGCTTCACAGATATGTCGGGGGTCCAAAGGGACAACACCTCTGACGGGATTCGAATTACCTAAAAAATCATATAATAAAAAAATTAATTTTAATTTTGAAAGGGAGGGCACTTGTTCCCCCTAGAATTAAGGGGGATCCGCCCATTAGCCCCCTGCATTACAAACAAAGAATTAAAAAAAATTAATCAACAAAACTGAACAAAATGATTTTGCAGATATCATCCTATGTTTCTCAAAACAAAACTACATAGCCAAAAATTTGGATTCACAAGTTTTTTCTATGACAGTGCAACCAATATCTATTGGCATCCAAGGATATTTACATGCGTAAAAGAAAATACAGATCAATTTCAGCATCATCTATGCTCTGTTAAGCACTTATTTAAAATTGAAGACCTTGTCTGCTAATTCCGTCGAGGAAGTTTTAAGAGATGCTCGACAATGGAAAAACTTCAGTTAATGCTGTGAGAGGCAGTTGATGAAAGATTCTGATTGCTGTAGCTGTCATACAACCAAATGTCAGTTCTATTTGTTAATCCTCGCGAGTGCTCGAAGTAGAAGAAAAAGCAGATATCATCTGTTTACAATCTGAAAGAATAGTTAGCATTATAACTTGACCATTTACTGGAGAAGATAACAGTAACTTCAGTGAAGCAAATAATAAATGAATCAATGAACACGACAAGAACAATTCTCAAGACAATTTTATGTCAGCCTGGTATTTGCAGGTTAAAAAACTCAGTAGACAACATTTTTTCCAAAACGATTAAAGTAAAAACCAAATATAAAACCATATTATAGGGTTTCTTGCGTATAGAAAACCTGTAACTCCATAGAGAACTTGTAACTTTAAGCTCATGCCCTTCTACAATTTCAATTTCCTTAGAAGACAGACTTTGTGGGGCAACTTTCTTGTTATTTTATTTTTCAAACTAAATCTAATTCTATTTGACAACTACTTTCTTATTAGTTTCTCGTTGGTTTAAAAAAAAAATATATAAAAAGCTACTTTTATAACTGGAGTGCTGATGTGTGGTAGCTTTAAAAAGCAGCATTTCAATCTTATAAAAAAATATATATTTATAATATCTACAGTAACTTTCAATATATATATATTCCACAACTGTACAACTAAATTCACAAAATGTTGTAGGCTTGTGGCCGCCCCAAACAGACCCTAAGTCAGTTTTAAATTGCTCAAGATGTGAAAAAGTTAGATGCTGCATTTAAAACATTTACTTTTAGTAATGAAAATGATATAAAACCTCGAGGCCGATACACCAAACAGCATGGAAAGCCCAAGTTAGGGGAGGTTTATACCAGCTTAGCAAATAGAAGTTGTATACAGATAAAGAAAGATCGTATGGAAGGTACCATCAATATAAAATGTCATTACTACAAATTTATTTGCACATAAATCATTTCATTCGGATAGATATGACGCAATAAAGAAATGCATTTACATGCTATGAAGCAATAGTACCTTTGTTGAAACTTTCGAATGATAGATTTCAGTAAATGATCTCCAACTGTTTGCCTAAGGTGAGTTACCAACTGCTCACGAGAAATTTTCCTTTCCTGCAAATACACCAGTCCAATGTACCATGAATAAAAAGGGGGACGAAAGTAAAGTAAGTATCATATGCACATAGTAGAGCAAAAACACCACCATCAACAACAACAATATCAAGCCTTTGTCCCACTACGTGGGGTCGGCTAAATGAATCCTTTTTTGTCATTGTGTCCTGTTAAAAGTCAAATTCTCATTTAAATCTAATAAAAAAATATCATTTTTAATATTTTCTAACCAAGTCTTTTTAGGTCTACCTATACATTTCTTAACATAAGTCAAATCTAATACTTCAACTTTCCTAACTGGGTCATCGAAAGGCCTCCGTTTAATGTAACCAAAACACCTAAGGCGACACTCTCTAATCTTATCTTCCACTCGAGCTACTCCAACCTTTTCACATGTATGCTCATTTTGCTTCCTATCTCTAAAGGGTAAATCCACTCATCCACCTAAGCATCCTCATCCCTGCAACACTTAACTTATTATTATGCTTCTCTTTTAATGGCCAACATTCAGCACCATAAAACATTGCAGGTCTCACCACCATCTTATAGAATTTTCCCTTAAGTTTGAGGGGGACTTTTCTATCTCACAACAAGCCCAATGCATTCCTCCACTTCAACAAAAATAGGAAAAGAAAATTGGCTCAAGATAGCCCATGTTAAATTTAGTTCAAAATGTCAAACGTCTCTTTGAGGTGCAAGCCTTTTTCAATTGGATAAGAAGTCATCTTTCTATTTTGCAAGACTAAAAATCCAGAGAATTATTTTCTACAAGAAAAAAACAGGCCGCCTTGAAAAGACAAAATAAAATAAAAAGCCTGATCCACTTTTTTTCCAGAAGGTTCAGTGTACAATTAATTACCATATATTTGACGTGGAACTTCTTAATCAAGCAGATCTTTGAAGAAGATAAACCCTTAGAAAGAATATAGATCAGCTTGTTGAAAGATATCCATGGTGAGTGTGGCCTTGTTACAATCTCGTTCAGGCTCCCTGAATGTGCAAGAGGAAAATATTAACAATCCAAGAAAACTCTAAATAAGAACATAATCCTCAAACTTCATTTATTTTTTCAGTGATCAATGAAAGAAATTAGAGAGGAAAGAAAAAAGAACCTTTGGATTGGGTGTCCAATTGGACAGTCAGCACATACAATGGCAGCACACGAGTTTTAGCATCAGAATACCGTACAATATACTTCTGGGGAAATTGCTGATCATCCACACAAGAATCAAACTCATCTGAACTCGGTCCAAATGGTTTTGTACCAGGAAGAAACTGTTCTGTCTTTCCCAATATCACTCGACAGAAAATAAGGTACTTAAATCCATTTGCATCAGCAACTGACGACAGGACGCTGTCAATTTAAAAAAAAAAAAAGCAAATCAATGAAAGCATTACCTTAGGGCAGTTACAAAAATATGCAACCACCAATACCGCCATACCCACAATCATCCCTAGGAAAAAGAACATAATTCTTGGAAGGAATGCAGTGAAGTAACTACCCGAAAAGACTAAAAGAAAGAAAGTAAACGATTAAAATGCCATGCCATACCAATTCGCCGGCGATGATCCTCCATAAATGCATATGCCGAAACCAAACGGGCCCCCCATCGGCACTCCATCAGAACCAAAGCCATTTTTCACAATCTTACGAACCCCATCTATGGAAGTACCATACCACCCCATATTCAGATTGGGATTGCCGCCGTTCTTCTCCGCCAACGCCCTCTCATACAGCTTGAAGGCCTCGATCTGCGCCCTCCCCATAACGGAAGAGCAATGCACCAGTCTCCGAATAGCCAAAACGGAACAGCGTTCCGCCAGCGAACCGATGGAAACCAAGAAATAATGCTTCAAATTGGCGTGCTCATCGCTCCCTTCATCAAGATGAAGCAGAGCTCTGTCATCCAATGGCTCCATTTCCGTTGACTCATAAGTAATGCTCTCCGAGTCACTCGCCTCATCTTTCACTTGGACGACATCGTCCTCAATGACCGACCCGTTCATCGTAATTGGGGTACCTTTCTCTCTCTAGTTGCAGAATTCGAAGAGCAACTGTGAGGAGAAAGGGGTTAAAAGAGGCGCGGAAACGGCACCGCCTCTGGTTTTGGTGTCTTGTGGGTGATGCGCTCCTGTTTTATATCCATTCGCTGGGCCGCCAAAGGTTTGAAGATTGAAGGCGGTGCGATTGCCAATAATGCCCCGGGTGCCGCTAACCTGGCCTGAGACTTTTTTGGTATTTCTTGCAAAAAAAGTTTGTTTACCGTTCTGGTGGGTCCGGCCGGCCCAATACTTGGTGCTTGGATAAGGTTTTTGTCGTATTTCCATACTTATATTTGGACTGATCTGCAAATTTTACAAATATATTTTGCTAAATAAAATTTGATTTGAAATAAAATCATGTAATAATGAATAAATAAATAATTATTTTGATAAGTATCGTTTTAGTATATTATTTATTTTTTATATTTGTAAATATGCTTACGGCGATGATTTGAATCTCTACTCCTTATCTGTATTTTAATTATTCATTTTTATGTAAAAAATAAATAAATAAATGTTTTATTATTGCATGAATTGAATTGTGTGTGTATATATATATATAATTATGCAATTACAAAATTATAATTTTTATTTTATAAGCAAATATTGTGTTGTTCCAATAATAGATTTGTTTATATATATGATTTAAATATTAGGATGCTATTTGAATAAATATAAAAAAAATTATATTAGGTATCTAAAAATTAAAAAAATTACATCAATTTACATTGTGCAAAGCGCGTGGAAAAGGTGCTGTTGCAAAAATAATAATAATAGAAGCTTCCAAGCCTTCTAATTGCACATTTGGAGCTTATCTTCAGCTTCTTTATGCGGTAGTGCTATAAAAAGATATTCAATGAGTTTACACTTTAGTTTCATTAGGATATTTTTGTTATTATTTTTTAAAATAATTTTTTAGTTAAAAAATTTCTTCAAATTAAAAATTTTTGTATTACAAATTTATTTTAGAAAATGATAAAAAAGCTGTCCCAAATAGAACCTTACTCTTACTTTCTTAGGCTTCGTTTGAGACAACTTTTTTACTGCTTTTAGTAGCTGCTTTAACAAGCAGTAAGAAAGTCGTCCCAAACTAGATCAGACTTCTTTTAAGACAACTTTCTTATTTTTTTAAAACAACTTTATATTAAAAATTTACTTTAAAAAATAACAAAAGAGACTATTCCTTGTTATCATGCATTTTCTTCTAGAGGGAATGCTATCCCTAAAAGCCAACCCAACTAGAAGACTCTTGAAACAACAAAATCGTGTTTACAAGAAGATATTATGGTTTTGTTTGGGACGGCTTTCTTACAGACTCTTAAAGCAGCTTTCAAGCATAAAATTTTATACTAGAAAGCTACTTTAAGAAGTAATAAGAAAACCGTCCTAAACGAAGCCTATGTGGGAAGCTATTATGTTAATATGATTTGGAACTCCTAAATAGTAAATAAAAATAAAGATTTGTTCAATTAAAGATTAATTTTAACAAAATTAATTAAAAGCATTGGTTTTTTATTATTTGTGGGGGTCTAATCAGCCCACTAGAATTTTCAAATTTATTTCTAAACAAAACTAAGAATTTGAGCTCAATTAAAAATATTGTGGTTTGATGTTGTATTTAAAGATTTTCTTTTTATTTTCAAAATATATTTTCATTATTTGTTGATAAAAAAATTTACAGGATTCGGAGAATTACTATTACAAGATCTAAACAAGAAATCTTTTATTAGGGGTGTCAATTTTTTACACGAACCGAAACTCAACCCGAAAAAATCTGGGTTATGGTCAACCCGGACACGAAACGGGTCGGGTTCGGGTTCAACAAATCAACCCGTTTTAAAAATCGGGTCGGGTTCAGGTTGACCCAACAACCCGAAAATGACCTGAAATTAACACGAAAACTCTTATTTGACTCGAAAACCCGAGATTGACCCATTTTTACCCGATTTCGACACGAAAATCGAAGATTTACCCGATTTTTGACCAAAAAAACTAGCAATTTTAGGTCAACTTTGGGTCCTTCGTGTCGGGTCGGGTTGACTCGGACTCGAATCGAGTGGGGTTCGGGTCCGGAAACCTAACCCGTTTTTAAAAACGTGTTGGGTTCGGGTTGACCCGAACAGTGCTGGGTCAGTTTCGGGTTCGACCCGAACCCGACCCGTTGACCTGAATTGACACCCCTATATTTTATGTTCGGTGCTCTTATCATATATTTTTAGGGGAGATTTATACACATATCATAAAATTTTTATATGTTTATTTGTATCTATATTTACTTCAATAATATTTTCATGTCTTAATCACATTAAACTATATATGTGAAAAGTGTATTAGAAAAATTAATGCTAAAGATATTTATACTGTAATTTAAAATTTTGAATATTATACAATTTAAATATTAGTTAGCTAGAGGAATTAAGTGAAAATGTGCCATTGTGTTTCGCATAAGGGTGTTTCGTAGGTGATGTGATATCATTGTTTTTTCCAAGGCTATTAAAATTGGATCTGACCGGCCGGTTCAACCAGTTGAACCGTGAATTGGTCGGGTAGCCGGTTACGGTTCACGTTAAAACCAGTTGAATAATAAATCAGTATTGAATCGCTCGAACCCCAAACCAGTATTAAACCGCTCGAAACGGGGGTTCCACCCCAAACCGGTATTGACCGCCAGTTTGACCCCGGCTTGACCCTTCGAGCCACTAACCTCTCCTTCTTCCGGTTCATTGTCCGGTCCAGCTTTCAAAGCCATGATCTTTTTCTTTAGGGGTTGTTTGATTGCCTAGAAAAAGAATGTGGGGTAAAATAAATGCAATGTACAAGAAAATTTTGGAGATGTTTGCATGAGTGAAAAAGAAATGCAAGGACTTCTTTTTTTTTTTTTTTAAGTTTGGCATAAAGTGAATACTATATAAATTGTAAGAAGATTTTGATCAGGGTGGTCGGTGACAAGTGGCCGCCAAAAGCGGGTCGACAAGAGTGCACACCCTTTGGAGGATTTTTGTCTAACTTGAAATTTCCTCTTTACAATCATAAAAACTAGACTAGATGCCTAGTTTAACAACTATTCTTCTAAATTCCCAACTTCAACTTCATTTTCTATGAAGAGTTGCCGTAGCATTTCATAAATGATTAAGTTGCCCTTTATCAAGTCTGATATATCATAAAAAAATTATCTTGATCGGGCACAAATCTCGAGTAAAATCAAGCCGGAAAATTCAAAAATTAAATCTGGGATCATCTGAACTCCGATTTCAGCAAACTTACTGTCAATTTGAGTATCTTGGAAATACGAGCCCAACGACACCAAATTCGACTCAATCCGAGCCCAAGTGAGTCCAAATCAAGGACCCGAAGCGCTATTGGAAAGTTTGAACCACAATTTTAGTTACCAAACGGTTTCCAAACATAACGTGCTTATAGTCGAATCGAGCGGCTCGACGAGACGAATCCAACGAGCCCAAGATCGTCGAATTCCGACATCATTAAGACCTTCAAATGTCTAACGAACAGTACACAATCAAGGGATTCAATATCGGTCGTCCATTCGACCACTCCTTACTTACCCCTTATCTCTCACCTATGTACAAGTCATGCTACACTAGAATATCTATAAATAGACCCCTCATTTCTCATGAGAGGGGACCTAAGCAAGAAGGATAAGATAAGAATTGAAGTATATGAGGGAGAAACTTTTCGACCACCGTCGGAGTTCTGCCTAACGCCTAAGTGACGATGGAGTTCTACTCGACGCCCCAGTGACGCCAAAATTCTACCCGACGCCGGAATTCTGCCTAAGCGACGCCGGAATTCTGCCTGACGTTCAAGTGACGCCGAAACTCCGCCCGATTTCTAAGTGAAGACGAAATTCTAAGTGATTCTGAATTCAACTCAAATACACAACTTGTGTGTAACTGGACTTCAACCCAAAAGTAAATCATCATAATATGATCGTCCTAAATTCTAAGGACGAGTCAGCCTCTTGTATCTCAAGCAAATACTACTGAAACTTTTTCAACTAGGCAGGCCGCAGTGATTTTTTTCCCTTTCCAGGATTTTTCACATAAAAAACCGAGTGTCTTTATTTATCTCCTGTTTGTGTGTTAGATATTCGTATAACACTGAGACAAACTTTCTAACTTTATTGCCGCGTATATTCTAATCCGCAACAAAGTCATTGGTAAAAAAATGCTATGAAAATAACTTAGTTATGCTAGAATTTTGTTATTACATCTTCTATGTCATTTTCTTGTTTAAAATTTCAAAAACAAATTTTTCAGGTAATCCAAACCAATTGTTTTAAAAATTGAATATACATATAGTAGTCGTATTTATACTATAACTTCCTCATTTTATAACTGATTCAAGTATTTTGAAACTCTAAGAGCCTCACTGAGACGACTTTACCTTGAAAAAATAAATGTAAAATTATTATTGAGAAAATAACCTTTTGAAATCTATTGTAAAAAACTTTCCCACATAAAAAAAATCTAAAAAACAGCACGAAACTAATAGTCAAATGAAATTGTAAATATGGTAAAAAAAAAAAAAGCATGAAGTAAATTGTCCTAAATAGAAATTTTATTAAGGGGCAATTTGGTGGCTAAGAAAATAATAAGTGTAAAAAAAATACTTTTAAATTATTTGAATGAGTGCAAAATAAATTCAGATGAATGCTTCTTTTTTGTTTGATTTGAAGCATAATGAACATAGAATAAAGTCTAAAAATGTTGGCAACCAACAATTGGCAGCGGTGGCGGCCAGTATCAAGTGGCGGCGGCAGTGGCCGACAGTTGATGACAGCGACAACCAATAGCAATGATGATCGAGGATGGTGACCAGTAGCGAGCAACAGTGGCCGATGACAGTGTTGGTGGCTAGAGGGTGGCGTTGGTGTTTGACAACGATCAAGCAAACTTGCTTGCAATGTAAATCATTCTCGCTCAAAATTTAACAAATTTATTTTACCTCAAAAACAAACTAGAATGATTTACACTATTTACTTTGTAATCAAAAATCAAAATTTTCAAAACATCAGCATTTGAAATACTTTAAAACCATTTGGAATCCAACCAAATAACCTCTAACTCAAGATACTTTACAATGCTTTAGAATATTATTTCTAACTCCTAAGTTAATTCCTATTGACCAAAAAGGAAAGCACTATTATAAAAAGATTAAGGCTTCGTTTGGGACGGCTTTCTTCTTGATTCTTAAA